ATTGCTTGCTGTCTGCATCGCCACACTCTGCCCATGTGCCACTTTCAGGTCTCCGCACACACTGCTGGTGAGGTGTTCAATTTTATTGACATAGGGTGCTGGGAAGATTACGGGCCTCCCATAGCTGCTGCCAGGCCCCTAATCTGCCATGGTGCCCCTATACCGCCTCCCTCATGCTGCTGCCAAGTCCAGAGTCTCTCATGAGGTCCCTGTACGGCCTCCCATTGCTGCTGTCTCCATCGCCACACTCTGCCATGTGCCACTTTCAGGTCTCCTCACACACTGCTGTGTGTTTCAATTTTTTGACATAGGGTGCTGGCAGATTACGGGCCTCCCATAGCTGCTGCTAGGCCCCCTAATCTGCCATTGGGCCCCTGTACCGCCTCCTCATGCTGCTGCCAGGTCCACAGTTGTCTCATGCCATGTGCCACTTTCAGGTCTCTTCACACTGCTGGTGTGTTCAATTTTTTGACATAGGGTGCTGGCAGATTACGGGCCTCCCATAGCTGCTGCCAGGCCCCTAATCTGCCATGGGGCCCCTGTACCGCCTCCTCAATGCTGGCCAGGTCCACAGTGTCTCATTGTGCCATGTGCCACTTTCAGGTCTCCTCACACTGCTGGTGTGTTCAATTTTTTGACATAGGGTGCTGGCAGATTACGGGGCCTCCCCATAGCTGCGGCCAGGCCCCTAATCTGCCATGGGCCCCTGTACCGACTCCCCTCATGCTGCTGCCAGGGTCCACAGTGTCTCATGCCATGTGCCACTTTCTGGTCTCCTCACACTGCTGGTGTGTTCCATTTTTTGTCATTAGGGTGCTGGCAGATTACGGGCCTCCTATAGCTGCTGCCAGGGGCCCCTAATCTGCCATGATGGCCCCTATACCGCCTCCTCATGCTGCTGCCAAGTCCAGAGTCTCTCATGGGGTCCCTGTACGGCCTCCCATTGCTGCTGTCTCCATCGCCACACTCTGCCATGTGCCACTTTCAGGTCCTGCTCACACACTGCTGGTGTGTTTTCAATTTTTTGACATAGGGTGCTGGCAGATTACGGGCCTCCCATAGCTGCTGCCAGGCCCCTCATCTGCCATGTGGCCCCTATATAACCGCCTCCTCATGCTGCTGCCAAGTCCAGAGTCGTCTTCATGGGTCCCTGTACGGCCTCCCATTGCTGCTGTCTCCATCGCCACACTCTGCCATGTGCCACTTTCAGGTCTCCTCACACTGCTGGTGTGTTCAATTTTTTGACATAGGGTGCTGGCAGATTACGGGCCTCCCATAGCTGCTGCCAGGCCCCCTAATCTGCCATGGGCCCCCGTACCGACTCCTCATGCTGCTGCCAGGCCCGTAATCTGTCATGGGCCCCTGTACCCGCCTCCTCATGCTGCTGCCAGGTCCAGAGTGTGTCATGGGTCCCTCTAGCGGTAACCAAAAGAGCCACACTCGGGAATACCATGCAGTGTTGCTCAGGGATTCCCTGCAGCACTTACCTTGTCCTGCGCTTCCACGATGTGTCCCCTGCAACATCCCCGGCCATAACTTCTGGCCGATGCCGGCATCCGTCTTCCATGTTCCGGTCCCTGTGAGCGTAGGGACGTACGGGAGCCGGGAGCGGCGGGAAATTTTAAAAACTGACATTCACTAATACACTAAAATCACATAGTAAAACATTACTGTTTCAAAGCATTTCACATACATTTTGTCCCTACTGCCTTGTCCTGTACCTTGCCTGCATTTTTACTGTTCCTTCTACCTGGAAACTTAGAAAAGTCCATGGCGTCCAAAAAGCGTCCCTTTAGGTCAAAACGGTTTTTTATACCGGCTAGAATACAGCGATAGTAAATCAGAACCACTTGCAGAATTGAGTGATAATGATTTGTGGTGAAATTCGTCATCAGGCACTGAAAACGATTCTGCGACTGAGCTCAGCGATGTGCGAACTTGGCGCTATATTTCAAATTTCAGTGTTTTTTGTTTGATTATATTATTGAATTAAATGTTTTATTATTATTATTATTATTATTATTATTATATTATTATTTTTTATGATTATTTATTAGATTATAATTTATGATTTCGTGTTTCAAGTTTTATCCTACCCGGGTGTTTACTAAACTCTTGTTCGGACAGATTTCATTGAGTTATTCCTAAAAATTACAGACCTCCAATAAAAAAACTACCTATTTCCATGCAAAAAAATATACTGCTTTCAGCACAGAAATATGGACATAATCATTCCGCTAGGGAGTTTAATTGTCTATACCACATAATGCCAATATCTCATCAATTTAGGGCATTTTCAAACATATGGAGTAGATCTCCAGAATTGAATAGACTTATCAGTTTGATGAACAGGCCTCTGCAGAAGTAGCCTTCAGCTGCAAGATTCTTTTAGCTTCATTTTGAGTTGGGTCTTTAACGCTTGTTTGTATGAATTGTTGGGCCCGTTAGCACTGTTTTATTTGCCTTGTTATTGCTTACCCCTCTGTTTCAATGCGTGGGGATGTCCCAAGGTCTGTGAAAATCCAGCCTGTGTCCTGTACTGTACGATTAAGAATAAAGGAATTTAGACTTACCTGTAAATGCTATATTTTGGAATGCAGTACAGGACGCAGGACACCCTCCTCTCTATTCCTATGTTAAGCGAGCCATGGATAGTTCATATTTTTTCATTCAGCCAGTGAGATTCCTCCATCCACACAAACAAGGTGAAGGGAGGAATCCTCACCCCTGCCAGGAACCTGCTGCTGTCATAATACACTGATGAAAAAAGTTTTCCAGTATGTCCCTTTGACAGAAGTCAATCAAACGATAGACTTTTGTCAAGCAGGGACAGCCACTCACTGCAGGAAATTCGGCCCGTCCCTGATGGACCAACTGAATTTCTATCAGTTTCTGGCCAGTTTTACTCTGCATTGCATGCTAAAAAGCTGAAGACTCACAGAGTGGGGTGTGGTTATAGGAATATGCCTAGGGATGTGCCCAACAAAGCTATTACTATTGCCCAATTACCTGAATATAGCAGCCTATAACACAGGGTCTATATCCACCAATCAGCCATAACATTATGATTACCCACCGCAGCCCATTGAGTCATGGACCTCTGAAGGTATGCTGTCATATCTGTCAGTAGTAGATCCTTTACATCCTGTAAGTTAGAAGGTGGGATCTCCATGGATTGGACTTGTTTTTCAGCACATCCCACAGATGCTTGATTTGAATAAGATCTGGAGAATTTGGAGGCCAATTCAACTCCTCAAACTCATTGTTGTGTTCCTCAAACCATTCTTGAATTCGCCAGACCAGGCCACTCTCTTCCATTGCTCCTGTGGTACAGATCTGATGCGCACATGTCCATTGCAGGCACTTTTGGCTGTAGACAAAGGTCAGCATGGGCACTCTGACTGATCTGCAGGTTTGCAGCACCATATGCAACAAAATTCCAGAATATATTACTGCCATTTGTAGACGCTATAACTTTCCCATAAACCAATTAATTTACATGTATTGGGATTTTTTTTTAGCAAAGACATGTAGCAGAATACATTTTGGCCTAAATTTATGAAGAAATTAGATTTTTTTTTACTGGATGTTTTAATCGCAAAAAGTCAAAAATATTGGTTATTTTTTTTCAAAATTGTCGGTCTTTTTTCGTTTATAGCAAAAAAATTTAAAATGCACAGGTGATCAAATACTACCGAAAGAAAGCTCTATTTGTAAGAAAAAAAGGACATAAATTTAATTTATGCACAGCATTTCATGACCGCACAATTGTCAGCTAACTGCTTTCCCGCCACCCTGTAGCAGAAATTCTGCTACAGGGCGGCAGGGGTGCACAAAATCATGTGTGTGTGCGTGTGTATATATATACTGTATGTATATATATATATATATACTGTATATATGTATATATACATACAGTATATATATACAGTATATATATATATATATACTGTATGTGTATATATATATATATGTATACATATACACGTGATTTCGTGGTTCTGGGTAGGGGGCCACCGTTGACCGGCGATCACCATGTATCACCGATGGGAGAGAGACCTGTATGTCATACAAAGCACCCGGCGATGTCCAAGGATTTACGATGGGGGAGAGACCTGTATGTAAACAATACAGATCTCTCCCCTGTCAGCTCCTGCACATTGCTTTGTATGGCTCTGCACAGCAGAGCCATACAAAGCAGTGTGCTTACAGTGTAAAGCACACACACACCGCACACAGTAAAACAGCACACAGTTAACCCTTTGATCACCCCAGATGTTAACCCCTTCCTGCCCAGTGCCAGTACAGTGTCAGTGCTTTTTATTAGCACTGATCACTGTATTGGTGTTACTGGGGATGTCAGTGACAGTTAGTCAGTTTCCTCCCCTCAGAATGCCTGCTGCAGTATCGCTATAAGTCGCTGATCGCCACCATTACTAGTATAAATTTTTTTTTTAATTCCAGTATCTATACCGCCATTTGTAGACGCTATAACATTCGTGTAAACCAATACATTTACATGTATTTGAAGTTTTTTGTAGCAAAGACATGTTTAAAAGCAAAAAGTCCAAAATATTGTTTTTTCTCAAAATTGGCGGTCTTTTTTTTATAGTGCAAACAATAAAAACACAAAGGCGATAAAATACCACCAAAAGAAAGCTCTATTTGTGGGGAAAGAAAGAACATACATTTCATTTTGGTGCAGTGTTGCATAACTGCGCAATTGTCAGTTAAAGTAACGCAGCGCTGTATCACAAAAATGGCCTGGTCAGGAAGGGGGGTAAATCCTCTGCAGTGCAAGTGGTTAAAGTAATGCAGCACCGTATTACAAAAAATGGCCTGGTCAAGGGGGGGGGGGGGGGGTAAATCCTCTAGAGGAGGTGGTTAAAGTATCAGATGTAAATATACAAAAATGTTAGCGGAGAGAGCAATTAAGTAAATAGTATTCAAGTTGTAGGGGAAGCTCATGGACCCATGCAGGGGTCACAAGAATAACAGTAACATATAGTTTACATGACTATAATCCATAACAGGATGATGTTATCGCAGGTATGTCCATAAAATATGAAACCAGTAAAGTGCAACTCTCTGATGATCATGCAACCTAGTCCTGAAAAAGCAGCTTTCAAGCTTATTGTGCAAATATGGGGTTGCTCATTGCTCGTCATAAACTATGTGACCTTCAGACCAGAGGGCACCTACCAGTGGAGGGAGCTAACTAAAATGTGTATGGGCTGAAGAGAGGTCCTTTTTAGAACTAAGAGAAAAGAGATAAAAAGGAGGAAAGACAAAGTACATGATGTAGTGGGGTGAAGAGGGGGATGGGGAGTTTTCGCCATGGGGGAGCAGGGGACAATGGAAATATCATCAAAGATTGGCCAGCTGTGTAGTAACTTGGGAGACCGGCTGGTAGTAGGATGGCCATTGATGCTACTGCTTTCCATCCTTACACAGTGGTCCGGTTTCCTGTGGATGACAGCTGTAGATGATGTGTTGTCTGGGCTCATCAGTCTCAAACATATACTGTCATTTCCCTCTACGTCCAAGCAGCACTTCTCTTACTTAAATGTAAGTTTGCATATTTGTTTGTTTAATAAATGACACATTGTTTTTACTAATTCCTGCGCTTTGGCTACCTTATTGTCTTCTATATTCCATTGAGGATTCCTCCCAGATCTGATGTGCCAAGCAGCGGAATTTCATTAGAGCTCTCCATTCATCCACCCATCCATCCTCTCATCCATCCATCCCTGGTCTTCATTCCACATAAACCATCATTAAGGCTGCTGAATACTTGTACCGACCATTCTGAGCCAGGACTTTGTTATATTATCAACTCCAGAGTTTCCACCGATAGGTATTGGGAATAAGTACTTTTCATATTCATTTGACTGTTGTTCATGTACTATGCTGAGAGCCTTTTTCTTTTTTATTTATATCGATAGAAACATATGTGTTTGTCCTCCAATACTGCCGTTAATTTCTCATTAATAAAGATACCCTGAATTTTATGTAGCGCCCCTCTAGATAGCCTTGGGGAGCTAGTTATCAATTTTTAGATAGAAAGGCTGAGTAGCAGCCTGGGCATGAGACAGTGGGTCAAATTTAGGTCAGGGCTGAGGGCTCTGCAGGTCAGTTCCTCGATACCCCCCCTGCTCTAGCAACTTGGAGAAGATTCTAGAAGCAATGGGCGGGTTGAGGAGGGGCTTGCTAGTACACTTAGAGGACTCTGGCCAATCCCCAAGCAGGAGGCTTAGCATGGGGTCAGGGCAGCCTTTAATCGAGACTGAGCATGCTCAGCAGAAGGGGAGTTTGGGTGGAAGATGAAGTGACATGCTGAGATGCCGGAGCCTGGAAGGGTGCCCCATGGAAAGAGGCCTACCTCCAGGCAGAGTTGCTGGAAAAGAGGATCACTAAACCTCAGGTGTCCCCTGAGAGAGGACCACCTGTGCAGCAGAGAAGGAGCCAGCCCAGCAGAAGGTCTGAAAGCAGCCACCAACCCAACAAGCTCATAGGAGAGGAAGAGAGAGTACTCTTATACCCCCTGGGCCAGATAAGGGGAGAGGGCATTTGGGTGGGAAACCTGACTGGCCCCCATCTGGGACTGTTTGGTCTGAGAAGACAGATCCTAGGTCCCCTTGCCCAGGGATTCACCCAGTACAGCTGAATGAGGAGAGGATTTATCTGGGGTGGTACATCAGGAGAGGCTAGAGAGCTCTCCAGGAAGAACCCCTTTTTGCTGTATAGAGACTTGTAGATAGTTGTTAAGGAGTTGTCCTCAGTTGCAGTTCTCTTGGGCATCTCACACACCCCTCATCCCCATCAAGTTCGATACCCCTAATAAAACTTAAAAAAACAAGCCCAAGGACTGTTTACTGTCTCTAGAATGCAAGTCTGTGAAAAATGTGTGTTGCCTGGCTGTGCAGGACTATAGGGGTACCCAAATCTTCAGCAACTCCTAAGGGGCTTGTGCTACATCTAGATTGGACTTCTTCAAAATGGAGAATCAGGGATTTCCACACACATGCAATGGTCTGCTTTGTTACCATAAAAAGGAATTCAATCAGTGCCCTAGATCTTTGCAGGACATCCTTTAGAAGAGAAGAGCTTCGCCCAGGTTCTTTCACACATTGACTTGTGTGACTGAGTGGATTAGGTTATACACCCTTATCCACAAATGGTGGGCCACAAGGCAAGACCACCAAATATGGAAAATTGTTCGGTTAGCTTTACACCGCTGAAAACAAAAAGGGATTTTAACCTGGTACCAGGGGCGGACTGACAACTCATGGGGCCCCTGGGCAGTAGGGGATCATGGGGCCCCTGTGTCCTTGCCCAAACTCAAAAAAGCCTATGAAAAAGGTACCAGGGGCATCTCATGGGGCCCCCTACTGACCCCGGGCCCTCGTTTCCAAATTGTCAGTCTGCCCCTGCCTGGTACATACTTTGAAATACGTGCCTTGGTAAAATACTAATGGATAAGAACTTTGTACGATGGGTTTTTTTTTTTGGTTTTTTTTTTTCTCTTGGATAGGACCAATCCTCACTAGTATGTTGAGGTGACAGGCAGACCCTACATTAGAGATCCCATTGATGTTCTTGCCTTTTATAATTGTATTGATAGTGATACGTGTCTGGATGATGCTCCTAAACACACATCATCTAGTATTTCAAAAACTATGGGTTGGTCCCCGTGATGTGTCTTGAGGGCACTATAATAGTTTTTGTTTTGTTTTTATTTTTATCCTGTTATGATTTTATATTACCATTTCTTAATTTTTTGTGTGATATTGGTAAGCCTATATTGGGTTTTGATATATGTGATTGAACTCTAGGCTATTGCACCTTAAATTGAAGAGCATATGATCCTTTTCTTTTCTAATGTATTATCAGGGAAGAAGAGCTTCGCATCTGCGCACATCTGTTTGCCAACGCCGGGTTCCCGATTGCCGTGCCAGTGCGCATGCGAATGCGCACACGATTGTGCGCACCCGAGTGCGCACACATGCATGGGCTGATGTGCACAGTCGGGCTATTTAAACCCATGTTGCAAACAGAATGGTGCCTTCTGCTCTACTGCATCCTGTATCTGTATCCTGACTCCTGTGATCTACCTGCTTGACTCTGACTACGACTGAACTCCGCCTGCACTGACCTGGCTCTCCCTTTGACTATCTGCTTGCCTATTCCTCTGTACCTGATCCATCTGATTGATCCTGACCCGGCCTGCCTGACTATTCTACCTCTACTGCCTGTGACTACCTCTGGCTACCAGCTGCCAAGGTCATCCGCATCTCAGCTACACCTCTCTGCTGCTGCACCTGCTCACCTGCATCCTGCTACCTGCATCCTGGTCTTCCGGGTCTTCACCTGACAGCTGTCACCGCAGACCTGTCAGGCACTCGTGCTCCTCCCAGCTTGATACCTCCTGTTTACCCTATCAGGGGTCCTGAACGGGAGTGGTAAGAGGACGCCCTCTCTCCACATCAGGCTCCACCACCAGCAACTAAGGTGAGGTTTGTGATTTCTCTGCTCCAGGGAGAACCACAGGCATGGGCCCACCACTTGCTGGAAAAGGAGGATGCCAAGTTAGCCTCCTTAAACATCTTTTTTGACTTCATGGCTCAACTATACAATGACCCCCAGCGAGCCGCATCAGCAGAGGCCACTCTTCATGTATTCCAACAGGGACGCAGGGCAGTAGAAGATTACTTCACAGAATCTAGGTGCTGGAGCACCAATACCAAATGGAATGACGCTGCCCTACATTGCCAGTTTTGTCTAGGCCTTGCTGAATCTCTGAAGGATGAACTGGCCCATGTAGGAGTACCCAGTACTCTGAAGGAGCTCATTAATCTCTCTATACAGATTGATCGCCGTCTTAGGGAGCATAGATTAGAGAAGTCCACCAGGCTAAGTCGCCCTGTATGGATGCTACCTAGGGCTCCACCGTCAACCAACATGGCGCCAACCAGCTCTGCTACACCTTCAGTGGAGGAACCTAAACCCATGCAAATAGGTCTATAATGAGCCTCTTTGACACCCAAAGAACGCCAGCATCGACGCCAGCACAACTTATGCCTCTATTGTGGAGAAGCCGGGCACTACGCGCGGAACTGCTCCGCTAAGTTGCATAAGTTACCAAATTACTTACCTGCTAGTCCACCTCCTGCTCCCATCAGTCATGCTCACATTTCCATTCCTGTCTCCTTTCAGCTTTTGGAAAGAGCCCTTTCAGTTTCTGCTATCCTTGACTTCGGAGCTTGCAGCTGTTTCATCAATGTAAACTTCGCTCGGCAACACCAGATACCTTTACGAGCTAAATCGCAGAAACTTACCGTATATCTGGCTGATGAATCCAACATCAAATCTGGAGCAGTTACCCAGGAAACAATTCCCCTACCGGTCATGATACCCTCCTTGGGCCACAAGGAACTATTATGTCTGGATGCCATTGCCTCACCAATATTTCCGGTTATCCTGGGAATTCCCTGGTTACAGGAACATAACCCTAACATC